GACACACACATATCAAGATATCCTATGACTTATCCTGATCGAACATGCTGGAATATCACACACGGCACGCAGGGTCATGATTTTGCAGGAGGAACTTATATTCTCAACAGTCCGACCATGCGCTGCTTGACATTGGCTCTCAGCTCTGCTAGTTCGGGGAATCCAAGCCGCTGAGACGGTCGCCTCTTGCCTCTGCTTTTCGCTGAGGTTCCGGCCTCACGGAGGCGGCCGGTGGCCCAGCGGAGCTTTGCTTGACTTGTGATCGGTGCGAGAGAGGCACGGAAGGAGATATGGAATGACCCCGAGTTAAAGCATTTTTTGGTTTTCCTTTAAGGAATCTCCAAAACCGGTAGTTCAAAGCATCCAAGTGGTGGTTTCCTTTATTCGATTGATTCATTGCTAACACCCGGAAGGTCATTCCCTGATCAGCAAGTTGAGGTAGGGATGCTCACCCAAGGGTCCGTTGATTCAGTCATGGGAGCCCGCCAGAGAAGTTTTCTGGGACATGGGAATCACCAGTAGCGCTTGGCGGGGAGGTGCTGCAAAGGGCATCGGGCCTGGCTTCCAATGCTGCCGCGCTCTTAAATGTGCCAGACTGTCGGCTTCTGCCCAGAGGTCGTGAGAAGAAAGCAAGCCACAAGTGATGGTGCGTTTCAGGGTCGCACCTCCTAAAAATTCTGCCCTCTGACTTTCGGCAATCCAGACTGTGCACGTAAAGGGTACCTCCGCAGATCTTTCTGGCCCTTGCGCCAGTGGCGTTGCCCGATGAGATGCATCAGACACCCAGAGTTCACTCAGAGCACAGTTGCGCTCCTTGCGAGATGGCAGCAGCAAGGCAACCGGCAGTTCATAGAAGACCTTGGCACATTCCGAATGATATTTCTTCCCCAGAATTAGCCCGCCTTTTTTTTAGTGGGTCCCCTTTGTTTCCACTTACTAGGCAAGCATAGTTTTTTGCAGGGGTCCTAATCTCAGCCAAGAAATTGCGGGGTGTCTTTTTTTGAGAGTACCTTTTTTTGAAGGACACCAACAGTAAGATCACCTTTTTTACGGGGTCCAACCCTAAAAAACAAAATAGTCTCAGGTGATATCCCCAACAGCATGCGGTGCTCGTTTTAGTGCTCGCACCACCCCGCAGCCCCCGCAGAACCTCGTGGAACCTGGTGGAACCTGGTGGAACCCTGGTGGAACCCTGGTGACACCCTCGCTGTTGGGGAAAAATACCATTTGCCACACGCCAAGTTCCGAGCAGTGGCAGTCTGAGACACTTTTTCGGCTTTGGGGCATTCGGCTTGGCCATGCCGCAGCCTGTGAGCACCGTGCGGATTGTGGGCTATGGCATGAGACTTGGCGCTGAAGTTTGTTCCTTTTGTTTATCTTTCTCTTCTTCTGGGGTAGACTTAGGATACGTTTACATTCTATAACTGGGCCGAACTCCAATCATGTCTTCTTTCTTGGTCTTTTACTTGGACTATCTTGGACTCGTGGGCGCTTGTGCCATGACCTGCCTTAGAGATATTCAATGATTTAACAGTTGGTCTCTTGCCTTTTCGTTGGAAGTTTTGGAGGCGTTAACGTAGCTCCATGCGTTCTCGTGATGAAAACTGCCCTCAAAACCGCCATCCAGGTCAATTGCATGACCATAGGTGTCCTTTTTGGCTGCTTTGGGGTAAAAATGGCATGGCGATTTCTGGTTTACCTGGTGGTTCATCATCTACCAGGGCCATCGATTTCCCCCTAAAAGGACACCTATGTTCATGACCCCAAAGCAATCAACGCAAACTTTAGCCTTCGAACCGGGTCGAATTGGCTTCGACACCTTGGTGGCGAAGCCAGCCATCCGGTCCCTTAGCTTTTCAGATCCTTTTAGTCTTTAGTGGCAGTTTGCGAATTTCACCCACTAAAAGTTCTCAACTTTTTTAGCGGGGGATCGAAACAAACGGGCGGCCCTTCGAAACGCGGCCGCGGCCGAAGCGCTCGGCACCCTTCCCCGAGGACGGCTTTGGGGAAGCTGCGGCGCAGCGCCACGGAGTTGATGCAGGAGGCGCTGCAGAAGGCGCTGCAGTCCACGGGTCTGCAGATGAAGGCTGACTCGTCCGAGGGAGGGAAGGGGGGCAGGGCGGGAAGTTCTCCATTTTCTTTGTTTTTTTTGGGGGGCCATTTTTGGATTCGGAAGGCGGGGTGAAGGGTCTGAGTTCCCAAAAAAATTGACTCCTCCGAGTCGGCAGGGGGGGGGGGGGGTAAGAGGGAATAGTATGTATCATGTGACCGGGCTATTTTATGCATTTTGATCAGCATGTTCATCATCATGTTCATGATCATTTTCATCATCATATTCATCATCATGTTTTTCTTTAATCATCATTTTATCATCAAATTCATCGTCGTCGTCGTCGTCGTCATCATCATCATCATCATCATCATCATCCGAGCCCTTCCCAGACCCCCTGGATTGTTCAATTTGTTCATTTTTTTCAATTCTGGCCAACAAATTGAACAATTTAATAACATGAAAAATCCAAGGGGGTCCAGGCTGGCCCATCATCATCATCATCATCATCATCATCATCATCATCATCATCATCATCATCATCATCATCATTTGTATTATCATTTGTATCATCATTTGTATCATCATTTTCATCATCATGTTTATCGTCATTTATCATCTTTTCTTTTTTTCATCATCATTTTCATCATCATGTTTATCATCATTTTCATTATCATGTTTATCATCATTTTAATTATCATGTTTATCACCACTTTCATTTTTATCATCATTTTATCATCATTGATCATCATCATCATCATCGTCGTCGCCGTCATCATCATCATCATCATCATCCGAGCCCTTCCCAGACCCCCTGGATTTTTCATTTTTTCAATGTTTCCATTTTTTTGGCCAGAATTGAAAAAATGAAAAAAATGAAACATCCAAGACTACGATTTGTTTCTCATTTTTTTCACTTGTTTCAATTCTGGCCAATTCATTGAAAAAATAAAAACCATGCACAATCCAAGACTACGATTTTTCATTTTCTTCAATTCTGGCCAAAAACATGAAAACCATGAACATGAAAAAACAATGAAAGAATTGAAAAATCCAGGGGGTCCAGGCTGGCCACCTGATCAGCATCATCATCATCATGTTTATCATCATGTTCATCATCATCATCATTTTTATCATCACTTTTATCATCATGTTTATCATCACTTTCATCATCATCATCATCATCATCATCATCATCATCATCATCATCATCATCATTTTTATCATCATGTTTATCATCATTTTCACCATCATTTTTAGCATCATTTTTATCATCATTTCTATCATCACTTTCATCATCATCATTAAACAAAACAACACATTTTCATCATCATGTTTACCATCATGAATTACAAAATGAGCACTTTCTCGGCCAAAGCTGGCCTTGTGCACTTCTAGCGTGGAATGTAAAGGAATGGAGCAGATTTCTTCCTTTATATTTTGTCCTATGCCCAATTACTTGAGCTCTAAAGAAATCCATAGCAATATTATCTAACTCTTGGATTTTATTATCCGGTCCTTTCTCTTTTGCGATCTGAGTCTTTCTTATGCGCTTAGGCCTTAGAATTATATTCAGATTATTACACACGTGGTTGTTCTTTTTTTGGATATTTGTCTTTTTTTATATATATTTGTTTTCCTTATTACCATCCTTTGCTGTTGTCTTGTTTCTAATCCCATTAGTATTTCTTGACTGATAGGTAAAAAGAAATGAACAGATACACATCATGTCCAAATTGCAGAAATATATTCTGTCATTCTGGCAAGAAACGACAAGGACATGGACAAGAAACGCAGTCAAGTTCTTTGTGTATGAAATTGAAAAATGAGTACTTTCTCGGCCCCAGTTGGCCTTGTGCGCTTCTAGCATGGAATGTAAAGGAATGGAGGGGATAGGTGGAGTCTCGCTTCCTTCATCCTCTTTCGTATTTCCAATTACTTGTTTTCTATCGAAACTCTTAGCACTATTATCTAACTCTTGGCACTTCTTTGCCTTGCCCTTCTCTTTTGTTATTTGACTCTGTCTTCATTTCTTAGACTATAGAAAACAACAGGTACACCTTCAATTGGTTTCCCATCTATGTGTCTAGGGAAACTAAGGGGAAACCTGGTTTTATTTTAAATGGATATCCTGTGCGACACTTCCATTTCTCAGGTTCCCTTTATTTAAAGGCAGCCCCAGATAAATTATTTTTTTGTCACAGCGCTTCCATGTCCTCTGAAGAGCTCTTGCCTTCAAGAGAAGAGTTTGGCGGCTTGTTTTGGGTTTCCTTTTTCGCTTACGTATTGAAACAATAAATAGAACACCAGCATGTTCGGCGGTCCTATGTTGAGACGAACTTAGAAGGGTCCGCTTTCGATTTTATTTGGCTTCTATCCTGTTTTCTTATATCTACATATTTCCCTTGTTGCCATCATCTACTATTGTCTTGATTCTGGCCTGTTATCTTTCATGAGTAATTGAGTAATTCTTGATTGCAAGGTAAAACGAAATGGACAGATACACATCATGCCCAAATTCTAGAATTATTTTCTGTCACTACCGCAAGAAGCGAACAGGACATGGAAAAGAAGAGCCATCAAATTCTTTAGGTGGGAAATTATGAAATGAGAACTTTCTCGGCCCCAGCTGGCCTTGTGCACTTTAAGACTTGGAATGTAAAGGAATGGAAAGGATAGGTGGGGCCTCTCTTCCTTCATCCCCCTTCTCATTTCCGTTTGCTTGTTTTCTAGCGAACACCTTAGTATTATTGTCTAACTCTTGGATTTGATCATCCTTTACTTTCTCTGTTGTTTCCTGGCTCTTTCTTCATTTCTTAAACTATAGAACACTTATCAGACTATTGTCCAGCAATCTTATACTACAACCAGACCATTCATCGTTTTATTTTATATTTTTTCACATGTTTGTCTCTAGTGTATTAAGTTTATATCGTGCTTGTTTATGTCTATTGCTCTTATGATCATCATGTATCATTGTCTTGTTTCTAGTCTGCTGTCTCCCACAAGTAATTATTGCTTGCGAGGTACAGCTAAATGGACAGACGCACATCATGTCCAAATTCTAGAACTATATGCTGCCAGTATGGCAAGAAGCGAAAAGGAAATGGAAGGAACTTATTGAAGGGACGTGGAAAGGTATGGAAGGGACATGGAAAGGAATGGAAAAACTGAAATCAAAGGAGAGGAAATGAATAAAACAAATGAAAGGCAGGGAACTGCAAAGGAGTGACATGGAAACGGAAAATCTTGGAAAGGAACCCCGGCACTGTTAACTTCTTCACGCTTGAAATTGCGAAACTAGACGTTGTTAGGCCCCGCCTAGCCTTGGGCATTTCTAGCTAGGAATGGGAAGGAATGGACAGAAAATGGAAAGGGTGGGAATTGGACAGAAAATGGAAAGGAACCCCGGCGCCATCACAATCTTTGCTCGGGACACTGTGAAATGGGCATTTTCTCGGCCCCCGCTGGCATCGGGCACTTCTAGCTTGGAAAGTAAAGGAACGGAAAGGATAGGTGGAGTCTCTCTTCCTTCATCCCCCTTCTTTACCTATTTTCCAACGAACACCTTAGCATAATTGTGTAACTCTTGGATTTGATCATCCTTTCCTTTCTCTTTTGCTATCTGTGCATTTCTTCTTTTCTTAGACTATCGAAATATTATCGTGTTACGGTTAACACACTCTTCATATTTTCTTGTTTCACGTCTATCTTGATTTATTATATGTGTTTCCCTCAGTATCACTTGCAAACTGCTATCTGGATTGCAAGGTAAACATAAATGGAACGATGTACGCAATTTCCAAATTCTAGAATTACATGTTGTCATTACTGCGAGAAGCGGAAAGGAAATGGAAGGGACATATCAAGGGGACATGGAAAGGAATGGAAAGGACATTGAAATAATATGGAGAGGACATGGCAAGGAATGAGCAACTGGAAGAGGAAGGGAGAGGAAATGAGCAAGCAAATGAAAGAAGGGAAACACAAAGAAGTGAAGAAGGACATGGACAAGACATGGAAAGGACGCCCGGCGATGTTAACTTCTTCACGCGAGAAACTGCGAAACTAGGCCCTTTCCTTGGGCATTTCTAGCTAGGAATGGGAAGGCATGAGCAGAAAACGGAAAGGGAATACCATCAAATTCTTTACGCGGGAAATTGCAAAATTAGTACTTTCCTGACCCTGGCTGGCCTTGGGCACTTCTAGCTTGGAATGGCAAGGAACGTACGGAAATGGAAAGGAGGTGGAATAAGATCGAAAGGAATGGAAAGAACTTGGAAGAATGGAGAGGACATGTAAATATACTGTATAGCACACAGGGGAGCTAGTCACTGGTTAGTTAGTTTTGAAAAATAGCAACTAACTATTGGCTTGGTCTAACGTTTGTTTCGCCGGGACAAACGCACTTTGGGCCGTCTATGGAACCTTTGTTTCTCTGGACAAAACAAACGTTTCTTTCGAACTCACCTAAGCTGCCACGTCGTGCCTGCAGCAGGATGCCACGTCAGTTGCTGCGCTGCTGTTCTTTGTTCTCGCAGCTTTTGGCTCAGATGGCGGCGGAGCGTGTGCTGCAGTGGCCTGTGACTTCGTGCCTGCACTGCCTGGCCACCGGCCTGCAAGCGCCGACTGCGGGGCGCGCATTGCCGCCGCTCGCTGCCGAGCACTAGCTTGCGTGCGTGGAGGGTAACCGTGGTGACCCACTACTACGGCTCGGTGGTGTACCGTCATGCCCCACTTGTTTGCAGAGCCTGCGACACTTTGTACTTTCACAACTTCGTCGTGCCCGGGCCACGAATTTCTGGTCCGGTGCGCATGGAGCTCGCTGGTGCCATTGCGTCCTGCGTCTGCCTGCAGACAGGCTTTGATGGCATCGCCTTCAGCCTGGATTTCCTGCGTCATTTCGAAGGCACGCTGATTCATTCGGGAACTTCTTACATGGGGCATTTGCAAAGCTACGCTGCATTTTGGCGCAACCGCGCCCTTGCTTCCAAGCGAGCCATAACACTGCTTACCCGAGCCCACCAGCTGTTTGCCCTCCTGGACTTTCTGGCGCTGGCTCGATACTGGGCTGCGTATCAGGCATTCGGGGTTTGTGTCTGCGCCTGCGGGAAGCCTGTCAGGCAAGCGCAACCTGTTCTTGAACAACCTCCCGGGCGACGCGACCGCTGCGCGGCTACGCGCGTACTTTGGAAAGTCAGTCTCTTGGCTTGCAAAACACAGTTTCAGCTCTTTGCGCACTCATTTCTTCTGCTTTTTAATTTGCTGATGTCGCTCTAGCCTTTGCTCAGCCTCTTATGGACTTCCGCGCACATGTAGGTTTCGATCAAGGATGACCACGCCACCGCCACGGTCAAGTACGACAAGCCCGCTGACGCTGCGGAAGCAATTTGTCGTTGGGACGGCTCTTGGTACTTAGGGCGCCAGTGCCGTGTGCAACGCGCACCCGGCGGCTGACGATCGCTGCGCGCCGGAGTTGACAATGCCGCTCCTTGCTTTCTTCGACTTTTCACTGCTCCTGTCGTCTTCCGCCCCGTAGCGCCTGTCGAGAAACTAGCAAACCTGATTTCCGACCCTGGAAACATTAGTTTCCCCTCCACGAAACTAACGTTCCAAAAGGATTGTTTCTGGGCCCCCCCTTCCTCCCCAGCCAAGAAAGGTTAGTTTGCACCCGAAAAAAACCTTTTTGGCCCCAGAACCTTTGTTTCCGGGCCCCTAAACTAAAGTTTTTTTCGGCCAGGTAAACCTTTCTTTCCCCTTGAGAGAGCAAACTTTCTCTGACTTAGTTTGTTTCCCGGGCCTGGAGGCGGCTGGCACCCTGTCACTCAGTTTCGTACAAAGGGTTTCCACCAGGGAAACTAATGTTTGTTATTGTAGTTTCGAAACTTTTGATTCGCTCCACGCTCGTATAGCAATGGACAAATGCAAAAAATGGACAGGACATAGAACATAAGTGAAAGGGAATGAAAAGGACATGGACAAGAAATGGACAAGAAACAGAAAATACGTTTGAACATATTCTTGGAAATACATATTCCAAAATATGGTAAATACTTCAAACATTTGAAAAATCAATCAGAGGTTGACGTTACAAGGAGCTCGGTCGCATTATGCGCATTATTTCCTGCCACGGGGGGGGGGGGGTCTGAGTTCCCAAACAAGATTGTTTTTGGGGCCAGTTTTGGATTCATGGGCTAGCTGTGTTTGGAGGATGTGAGCCCTTGTAATGAGTTTCCCTTGTTTGCCTTGACCGAGCTGGAGGGAGGTGGAGTGGAGGTCCAGTAACACCGGTTTACTATTTTTAGGAAAAACCTCCGAGACAGGATTTGCTTGAGCTTTGCATCTTTAGAACCATTGCAGGTGTCCAACCAGTGGTTTTTGAGCATCAATCCGCAGGATCCTTATGCCAGATGGTAGGCGATCCATTACCCAACAAACATCGCACGAGGGACACATCCGACCCCTTTTTGGAAGACGATTGTCCTTCTGGAAAGGGAGCCTCGACCGTTTTGGGTGGTTAAGCACACTGGAGGGAGCTTTTCAGGCATCACGTCAATGAGCGTGGGAGAGGTGGTGGCGATTGCTATTGCCTTTGCAAAAAAGCAAACATTTCTCCAGGGGCTTGTGGTGGGAATTGGCAATCGCTGGGATCGGCGGGGAATGGCATGCGACGTTTGGAAAAGGACGTTGGCAAATTACTTCGCCGGTCAGTTCCACGTGGTTGGAAGTAGATTTAGGCCTCCCCATTCTGCGTGGGCGTTTTGTTGTTTTTGGAGCTGATGGAAGACAAGAATACCTTCGCCGCTCAGCAGTTGGCATGCTATGTCACTCACCGTCCTATTCTTTTCCTGACTCGCGCCTCGCGTGTTTTCAACTTGTTCTCAAGTCATTTCCGGAGCATGTCCCCCCTCTCTTGGCTCGCAGAGCTGAGCTAGAAAGCTTTCCGGAGCAGGCTGCCCTGGGTCTTCGTGTAGGCACATCGCCGTGTCTTTTTTTGGGATCCTCTTCATCCAAAGCAACCTGGGCGGATCCCCCATAAGACACCGCTCTGCCATGGCTTCAACTAGGTCACAAGAGCCAAAAAGGCTTTTGCGACAAGACATATATCATTACAAGTTGTTATTCTTAAAAAGGGGCATCGGTTTTGGGTAGGCCTCCATGGGTTTTCAGGGTGTTTGATAGTTTTTGGAGACTATGAGCTAAGAGATATCGTGCCGAATACCTGCTGGGGAGGACCTGGATGGCCTGGTGGCGGTGCCTTCTCTGTCGCACCCGCACTTTATGGAGGCGCACTTCCTGGCAACCCAGGCGAGGCCCCGGCACCGGACGGTTTTCCCATGTGGCCATGGGTCAAAATTAAACCACCAGGGGACCGCAGATTTTAGTTCATATTTCGGTTCGCCAGGGTTGAATTTTGGGCACCCATTTTTGACCCACAGTCATGTCCCCTTTTGTTGGGACTCAAAACTGCTTGGCCACTTTCGAAGATTCGACTTCTTGGTGATAGGTTTTTATTGGGCCGAGAGAAGGTCAAGAGAAAGACATGGAGATGGGCCAGGAGGTAGAAAGAGGCATCACCAGATATGCCTCTCTTGGTGACATTAATAACTTGCAAATGAAAGAGAGGAGTTTTCCTAACCTTTCCTTTCCATCTTTAAGATTCCTAAGGCAACAGATGATAGTGAAGATAGAAAGTGAAAAAGATGTGAAACTTGTCGCTTGATTGAGATGTCGCTGATGGCGGATAGAAATGGAGGCGGGAAGGACACGGAACGAGAAAGAGAGACAGATGGAGAGGTGCCCAGCCAAGGAGGGAGACCTGGCTTGCTGCTAGTCCGTGGTTTGCATTTCACATTTGTCAAAAGAGGTTCCCTGATTTGAAATGAGCCGCCACGGTTGCAGAGCTAAATTGTTGTTTGTCAAAACTCGAACTTGCAGATTGGGCGTTGCCGTTTGGCTTTTTGTAACCCTTTCAAAGAATCCCGGTGTGTCCAACTTTTACTTCGCCCTTCAGTTCGGTTCCTCTCTTTTTGTGCCGTTTTCACTGGCACAAGTTCTTCGCGCCGTGCTGCATCTGGAGTCGGCAGGTGGGTCTCCTGCCGCGGCAGAACGTCCGGGTGCGAACCATCGACACGGGCGGGGCGGGGCCGGTGAGTGGCTTGCTGGAGGCCGTGCGCATGGTGAAGGCGAGAGCGGAGAGATGGGAGACTTGATGCGACACTGCTGTGTACATACATTGATGTGTATATATATATACACACACACATATATATATATATGGCTTTACCTCCCTCCAATATCCACCTTCCCTTTGTCTCCTTGAAAAATATCATCAACAAAAAACAACGAAAGCGCCGGTATTTGACCCAGCATGGCCTTTGTTTCCCTCTCCACCCCACCCCTGCCCTCCCCACCCCACCCCTGCCCGCCCCCCGCTTTTTGCGGGGGATCCGTCTGCTTGCCACCGGGTCCCACCCGCTCCGAGCGCTCGCGGCCGCGTCGAGCGTATCGCGCGCTCAGGCGGAGCGGTGCCAGGCGGTGGCGGTGGTGGCGGGGGACGCGGTGAGCTCCCTGGCCACCGCGGACTTCCTGGCCCGCGCGGACCAGGGCTGCCGGGACCCACAGGGCCTGCTTCCCTCGCGCCTGGGATGGGAGAGATGAGGGAACAAAATGCAAGGAACAAATGGGAGATGGGTAAATGGAATATGGGACATGAGAGGAAGACATGTATATATATATATATGTTGCTGTTTGTTTTTGTGTTGTTGTTGTTTTTTTTTGGGGGGGGGGAACACAAAAAATGGGGAGATGTGCAGACGGGATGATTCCCCCCCACCCCCCCTCGTTTTGTTGTTTTGGAAGGGGGACACAATTGTGTGTCTTGCTTTGTTCCCCCGGTTTGTTGAGGGGGGGGGGGGGGTGAAGAACAACAGAATGTGTATTGTGCTTTCTTTCATTGTTCTTTGGGGGGGGGTGAAGATGAAGAAACACAGATATGCGGTTATTGCTTCTTTGTTTGTTTTTAGAGGGGCGCGAAGAAAAGAGAAGTGCGGAAATGGACATCTAGATGATGTTTATATGTGGAATCTTGCATTCAAAGCAACAAGTCATGGGCATGTAGAGCTCTTCGGCCCGACAGGCTTGTGTTGTTGATTTTGAAATGAACACAGGAAGCGTTCCCTTTTATTTCAGGATTATTTCGGGAATTGCAATGAATTGGCAAGTCCAAGGCCGTGTATCCCCAACGGCTATGACCAGGCCGGAAACTCCGGCACGATTGGGAATAAGAGGTACCGTTCGCCATTGGTTCCCTCCATTCTGAAAAAATGGTTGGGTCCATGGGATGACCATCAAAAACAACCTTTTTTAACAATCATTTTTTGTTAGAACTTAGAACAGTTTTTTTTGATACCCAAGCTGGTTCCATGCAACTTATGAAGGGAATCTGCTAGTGATTCGTCTGATGCAGAAAGGGTCATTTGCAAGTGTGGGGCGTGGAGGCGTCGAATTCCGTGGGAGTGGGTTGAAATTGCCGGCGGCCCCGGAATAACGGGAAAACAAAATGGGAAAACGAGCCAGTGCTCCCAAAACACACTATGCTCTGCCACATGAATCTTGTTTTTGCTAGCGGACCAGAAACCGCACTCAACGGCGTGCACTTTGTTCCTGCAACCCTGCATAGCACGCCTGCGCCACTGCTTCGCCCTGGCACTGCGCGCACGCCTGACCATGGTAAGCGCACCCGCTCGACTGCTTCGTTATAGCACGCCTGACAACGGTAAGCGCACCCGCTAAAACTAACACTGCACGCCAAGAGGACGATGCTTTTCACCGATGGCACGAAGTGCTATCCGAAGGTAGCTGATAATGTCGGCTTGCTTCACGAATCAGTTAATCACAGTAAGGGAGAGTTTGTCAAAGATGTTTTTCGCTGACGCGAACAGGTCGTCTGCCACACTGGCACGATAGACTCTACGCATCTCCTCTTGTATGTAAAGTATTGGCAGTGGCGTGAGATGTGGGTTGTTGCGATTGCAAAGATGTGAAAAAGGAGAAGGCAGGGAATGGGCGATACAATTTGCGTTTCGCCTCAGCGAAACGCAAAACGCCTCTAAAACTGAGCCCTCTTTTTGGGAGTTTTTTTTGGGGACTCAATGAGCATTTCGCTGGGGTGAAACGCAAGTTTTTCCAGAAAAACGACAAAACGAAAGCGCGGATTTCGGTCCGCAGGGTTGTTTTTGTCCTTGGGCTTACAACCATTTCCTGCTATTTCACCCACATTCTGCAGAGAGCTGATGCTGGAGGGAGATGTTTGCTCCAAGCCTCAAAGCAATGATCAATCGACAAGGATAGAACAAAAATGTGTCCTTTTGTTTGCCTTTTCCAGGCACCGCGTGTCTACCCTTGCGACGATCAGGTCATCGGACGCTGAGGAGCTCGGGGAAGTTCTTATTGAGCACCCAAAACTCCCACCATGTAGCTGTCCTACCTGCTTTCATGGAGGCCATAGTCAGTACACAAACCTTTGTAGGAATCACACCAAAAACCACCCCCTATTAGTAAACCGGGGTCGATAAATCTGTGGTCCACATTAATGTTGGACCCTCTTTGCACGGACCCCCTAACAGGATCAAAAGGTTTCTACAATAGAGGGTGCTATTCCTAAAGGAGGTCCAACATGACCATTTTCACCGCGATGGGTTTTGACTCAGGTGGCGCGGTGGCAGATGGGTCGCTCAGTGAGCCGGGAGCAGCTGGCCATGGTCTCCGTGCTGATGTCCCGTCAGGCGCAGCGGCATCCCTTGGCGCTCACCAAGCGGCCCCACTCCTTGGAGGATGTGCTGTCCTCCAGGATGGGGTGAGAGGCTGGAAATCGTTTGGTTTGGCTTGGTGGAGTGGGGGTTGAATTGGGTTGAGTTGATGGGTTGAGTTGATAGTTTCGTTTGGGTTGGCGGAGGCTTTGGCTTGGAGTGGGGCAGGGTGTGGCCCGAAAGGATCGCAAGGCCCATGGCCATTGCTTCAAAGTGGCCTTGGTTCAAAACCAATGGGATCCCATTTTGGGGTAGGTGCACCACCCATTTTAGAGCCTATTTTTGTGGGGATCGGGATGTTCATTGATGGCCACGTGGAAACATGTTTGAACCACCCCGGTGCAAATGGCCAGTCCAATGGTTGGGGGAAGCCAGTCACTTCATGCAGGAGAGCTGTACGTCTGAGCTGCCTTTTCAGCTGAGAAAAGACAACGAGTGCTACCAGCGCCTGATTGTGTGCGTAGCGACGCCCACAAGAAAGTGTGTCTTTTCGGTGTGTGGTTTCTACATCTTTGTGAAGTAGGCAAATCATTCTTCATTCCACCGCGGCGTTTTGCAGAATACGCAAACATCTCGTTCCTACAATGCTCCGCTCCTCCGTCAGGGTCCATTCAAGGTAGGGGTTTGAAGGTACAGATGGGTATACACCACCAACATAAGCTTCCAAGGCAGTATATACCCCGCATATACAAAAAAGTGATATTAAGCCTCCATACCTCCAAAAACCCATACGTGAACACACCCTTGATCCATGTATGCTTTGGGAGGGAAACATTGTAACCAACTTGCCTCGTGGCTGTTTTTCTTGACGTGCCCTCCAAGAAGAAATCTTAGGCAGGAATTATGGTTCGCGTTGTCAGTCAGTCAAAAGCTGCCAAGGAAGAATCCAACACAGCCATTCATTCATAGACTCACCCCCTCAGACCCTTGAATTAAGAACAGAACTATACAGGTCCATTAAATGCAACACGTCTGTAGGTGATCAACATGTCCTTTTGGGCTTCCCCTTTAAGCCACCCATTCAGCACTTGGGTCATTTTTGGAAGGAGCATTGCACCGGCCACCAATCTTCTGGAGTGCGCCCGGCGGGCCGACGGGGGCGCCGCGATCATCGTCGCCAGCAGCAGCTTCATGGACCATCACCTGGGGCACGACGTGGTCAGCAGCAAGGTGACGGAACCGCTCGTTTTGGAAGGCGAGCCCAAATTTCACTTCCGGCTGTGGGTCAATGGGATCCCATTTTGGGGTAGGTGCACCACCCATTTTAGTCCATTTTAGTGGGGATTGGGATGTTCACTAAGGGTACAGGCTTTTGACCCATGACCTTCCTTTTAACGGACGGTAGTCATAACTGGTTAGGGCTCTAGGCACCTTAAACACCACAAGTGTGCGGAACCAAACGCTCATTTGGTGTGGGCACAGCTCTAATTTTTGCTTGGGTCGTCATGACATTGGGGAGCAGAATAAGCCGAGACTAGCAATATCGATGCGACAGGGGGGCCTTTCGCCGCCAAAGAAACTGGCCAGGGGTTTGCGATCCTCAGTGTTCAGTGTTCTGACATGCGGCTGTGGGTCAAAACTTCAAAACCAATGGGATCCCATTTTGGGGTAGGTGTACGGAACCTATTTTAGTGGTTGGATTGGGATGTTCACTGGGGGATAAAAAGACCGATCACTTTTCGGGAGGCCAGAGATATTTTGTTTGCAAGGCCCAAAACGAACCCATCCAGCTTTTTTTTCTTACTTGGAACAACAAACTGCATCCAATGTGGGGGGGTTTGGACCCCATGTTATCAAAAGCCATCCAGTTTTGGGGGGATTTGGACCCCAGTCTACCCCACTTGCATCAAACAAAACATGCAGTTTTGTTGGTGTTTTCCCCATTTTCCGACTTGCATCTCAAAAACCATCTTTTGGTGGTCTTCGACCCCAGCCAACCCAACCCCCCTTGGATCAGCACGGTCAACTTCGCGCCTTTTAGGTCCCGTCCTTTCGGGTAGGACGGGGCGGTGAGCGAGCGCTTGGGCCCCGTGGCGGCCTCCGGGGGCGTGGTGGTCCTGGGGGGCGGCGAGGCCAGCGGGCCGCTCTTCCCGCCCAGAGACATCGACGAGGCGATGTTCAGCTGCGAGGCGCCTCACGTCGAGTCGACTCAGTTGAGTCGACTCAGTCGAGTCGTCAGTCGCGAGTCTACTCAGTCGAGTCGAGTCAGTGGGGAGTTGGGAGAGTTTTCAGCTGCGAGGCGGGCGCTCGTCGGGAGTCGAGTCGGGTCACTCGAGTCTGCTCTGTTCTTTTTTTGCGAATCATTTTTGGTGTCAGTCGAGTCGAGTCGAGTCGCAAGTCGAGTGTTCAGCTGCGAGGCGGGCGCTCGTCGGGAGTCGAGTCGGGTCACTCGAGTCGGCTCTGTTCTTTTTGTGCGAATCATTTTTGGTGTCAGTCGAGTCGAGTCGAGTCGCAAGTCGAGTGTTCAGCTGCGAGGCGGGCGCTCGTCGCGAGTCGAGTCGGGTCACTCGAGTCGACTCTGTTCTTTTTTTTAGCGCATAATTTTTGGTGTCAGTCGAGTCGAGTCGAGTCGCAAGTCGAGTGTTCAGCTGCGAGGCGGGCGCTCGTCGGGAGTCGAGTCGGGTCTGTTCTTTTTTTGCGCATAATTTTTGGTGTCAGTCGAGTCGAGTCGAGTCGCAAGTCGAGTGCTCAGCTGCGAGGCGGCCTCGTCCGAGTCAGGTGCGAGTCGGGAGTCGGTCGAGTCGGCTCATGTCGAGTCAGCTCCTTATTGTTGCTTTTTTGCGCATCATTTGTGGCGAGCTCACCAATTTGCTAGAAAGAGCTCACCATGGGAAAGATCCTGTACTTGGGGATCCCTTATTTCAGGTTTGTACAATTTGCAATATATAGACTTTTTTTTTCTTGGGAGTTGGTTGTGAAGTGGGGCCCAGAAAGACTATTGAACAGGATTGCGAGTCACGAGTCGCGTCGGCTCCTGAAAAAAGATGGACCCCCGATGGGGGTTGTGTTGAAGATGTTGAAGAGCAAGACCAACCACAAGCTGGTTGAAACAACTGTGGCTTGGACAGGACATACTTGAATGGGGGAGGCTGGATGTGCTTCTGCTTGTTCGGGGAAAACACCGCGGTGGCGGTAGCCGCGGTAGCCGCGGTAGCCGCCTTTCAGAAGGGTCCAGCCTCGAGGCCGATGCGCCCCTCCCCCCGAACACGAGCACAAGCAAAGCACAACCGCAGCAAGCAAAGCGAGGCACAGGCGCAAGCGCAAACGCAAGCAAGCGAGGTCGCCATGTTTTTTCTCTTTTTTTGCTTGTGTTCCGGAGGGGCGGAGGGGGCGGGGGAGGGGCGGGAGGGTTCTGGAGGCAAAGCGTGAGGCTTGGGCCAAGGATGCCGGCCGAGGGGCGCTGTGAAAAGACTGTCCGTCAAGTGGGCCCGAAAACTTGTTCCAGTTGGACCACCTCACTGGTCCCTTAGATGGTTCTCTGTCAACCAGCATGTTCCTTTTCACTTGCCCTTGAGAACCATGCAAGGGACCCATTTCAAAAACGCAGAAGAGAAATGCGATGATGTTCTCGGGCGCCTGGCGCACTTCAGCATCTTGCTGCTCGTTTCCCTTTGGCCGAACTGTTGAAAAAAAGAGAGGCCGCGGCGAGTCAGTCAATGGGTGCGCACGACGCTCGAGTGCGCTTTGCTTTGAGCTCTAGGAACCATCTGTGTCCGGAGCACATAGCCAAGAGTGCTCAAGACTGGTTGGCCCTAGTTTCGTGGGGGATATTGTGAGGGCTACATGAACCAAAGACTTTGTTTCTAGTAAAACTAAAAAAGACGAAGCCAACGCGTTCTGGCTCAGAGCCTCGTCTCCGAAACCTGGTGCGACCGACCGCAGCCCGTCTCCGCCGGTCTCCGCCGCGAGGCCGCGGCCCAGTCGGCCTTCTCCGAGGCCCAGCTGCTGCCGGGGGACGTCGATTGGTTCGGGCTCTATGCGGCTCGAGCCGGTGGGGTGGAGTTGGGCGAGGTGGGTGGGGTGGGGGGGTGTGGTTGGGTTGGGTTGGGGGTGGGTGGATGGGGTTGGGTGGGGTGGGGTTGGGTGGGGTAGGGTGAGGTGAGGTTGGGTGGTCCAGGCAGACGGCGCTTAGCTATTGGCCAGTGTGCTATCGATTATCCGGGCTTTGCTTGTAGATTACATTGCGAGTCGATGCAGGACTGTTTCCAACGTTGGCGAGCTTGTCTTTTTCCCCCCTCTTGCTTTCTACCTGTTGTTGGTGATCAAACGAAAAAGTCGCTTGGCTGGTTGCCAGCGTCGCTTTTCCTTTTTGTCCCAAAACCGGGGAAGGGTAACAGCCCAAAACGGAAGGCGTTTCCTTGGGCTTCCCCGACCCTCAGACCCCGGTCCGAGCCCAGGACTGCTACCCGGTGTGCTTCGTGCGCGCGCTGGAAGCCTGCGGGGTGGCAGCCAAAGGCCAGGGTGGCCAATGGGTGGAGCAGATGTTCAAGCGGACGCAGCTGCTTGGCGCGCAGATGTCCTGGCACAGGCAGGGGTCCACTTTTTGACTGCCCCTACCCACAGGTTCTCTTTTTGGGGGCAATGAACCACCGAACCACCCCTGGGTTTAAGTCTACCCTGAAATAGTCAAAAAGTGGAGCCCTGGGCATAGGTGTTCTTGATTCCACTGATCTCAGTTTGGTGTCCTTAGGTCAGTTTTGGTCTTGGTTAAATGGGCGTCCTTAGGCGTCATTCTTGGTCTTGGTTGAAAAGGGAATCCATTCCACTGATCTCAGTTTGGTTCCTTTTTCATGTGCCTTCCATTCCCAAAAGGAGACCGAGTTTGGCCGGTGAGGTTTTGCTCGCAGAAAAGCCATGTCCAAATGTGTACCTTCAATGGTGTTGTGAAGCACTACTGTGCATGAACGAAATCCTGCACCGCTTTGAAACAATGGAACGCCATTATTTGTTGGCATTTACAGGGGATCGGCCCATTCCAGGGGTTCTGAACGGTGGGCGCGCTTTTTTTTGGTTTTCGCCAACCACGCCACAGGGAACGCCGGCGGCTTTTGCGGACGGCGATCCGAGGTCGGAGTACCAGCCGGCGGACTTCCCCATCAACACCCACGGCGGGCTTTTGGCCTTCGGAGCACCTTGGGAGGTGCGGTGGATGCTGGGTGGCTGGGTGGCTCGTCAACCGTCAAGAACGAGAAATAAGAAAAACAGGAAAAGAAAAGAAACAAAAACATGCCGCAATACCGTCAACCTAAAAAACATCCTCAAGAGCCACCCAGGATGGCGCGAGGAGTTTATGTTTCGTTTTAAGTTTTAACCTCAAAACCAACCAGCCAAAAGGGTATCTTCAAAAAAAACACACGCACACACACACACACACCCACATGGCTTGGTCAAGGCAACCCGAAAAGACCAGCAGAATGAGTGACCGTCTCACATGGGAGAGTGGCCGAGCCTCACCCGGTCACCCCGAACGGACACGCAGCTGGCCCATCCGACCCGTTTTCCCAGTTTTGCTGGCGCTTCTTCCAGCCTTTCAGCACACGGGAGCACATGGGAACGGACCATCAAGAAGTGGCCAGTCGAACAGAACGTCCTGTAGTTTTCCCCAGAAATGCAAAGGGTAGTTTTCCCCAGAAAACCATTGGCCAATTGGGGTGTGAACAAAGCAAGTAGAGGGTGGACGTGCCTCCAAATTTTGGCTGGGTGCTGTTGCTTGGGTGCTGCCGCAGGGTGCTGTTGAAGGGGACTGGGTTTTGCGAAGTGTTGCAGGGCGCTGCTGCAAGTGTGACCAAGAGTTGCGCAGGGTGCGGTTGCAGGGCTTTGTTGCAAGGTGCTGCTGCAGATTGTGACTGCTGGATGGGTGCTGCTGGAGAATGTGATTGCAGGATGCTGCTGTATTGGTGTTGCATATTGTAAACGATTGCTGCTGATGATTTCTCTTTCGTTCGGCGCACGAAAATGCACTTGTGAGCCCGAAAAAGACAGACCGCGATCCGTTTTGTGATTCGATTTTTTTCTCTTGCAAACAGCAGCTATCGATTTGCGCCGTATTTCTGATTGTTTGTAAGAACAGGTATTGAATTGTTTTCTTTTGGCTGGGTGCTGGAGAACGGCTATGATCTGTTTTGTTGCAGTCCGACTTCCTCTTGATGTGTCACATTGGTTTGGCGCATGACACCATGACACTTATATATATATATTATACTATATACATCCATTGCAACCCTTTTTAATCTTGTTAGGTTAGTGCTGGAACATACCTTGATGTCTCATTGGTTTGGTGCTGGAACATACTGTACCATCCATAGTTTGAAGCTCGCTTGTCTCTGACATCGTTTGGTGTGGTGCCAGAAAATGCTATCATGTTACTGAATGAATGCTTGGGCACGCTATCACTGACTAATGTGATTCCTGACAATCAAGTGTTTCTTGTTATTATCTCCTGTTGGTTGGGTCTTGACACACATTGTACGACTTGGGGACCTGTCTTTCCGGCTGTGGATTTGCTGATCAACCCGTTGTTTTGCTTGTTGTCGACCTTGGTTCGACAGTCATGAGTTCGCTGAAGCAGACTCGAATGATGCTGCTGTCCCCTGTGACTATGCTGTGTCCATTCTTAACATAGATTCCGTCTTTGTGTGTGTCTGTGTGGGGCATCATCTACGCACAGTTGGTCGTTACGGTCGTCAAGCACCGTGGTCTATGCTGGTGTAATTAGGGCACTTTGCCAGTTCAAGGGAATGGGCATTTCGTTATGTATCCCTTTGTTTTTTCGTTCTTCTTTATGTATCCGCTTCTTGCTGTATGCTTTGCCCCTAAGATGTGCACAACGCGCAGGTGCCGGCGATGTACAACATCATAGAAGCCTGCGCTTGAGCTGCAATTGAGAGTTCTGTTTGTGCTGGTCCTGGGATGACGGCTGCAGCCTCAAGCCCGGCAAACCCAAAAGACGTTCTGACACCTCGCTAAATTCCACCCCGATTCACAAGCTGAAACCGAGACAATGCCAAATCACACACCACTGAACTCCTAAAGAACCCGTGCTCAAGCAAGCAACCTCAAACTGAGCAATCCTAGAAACTGGAGAGCACCAAACCAGCAAGCCAGCCAGCCAGCCAGCCAGCCAGCCAGCCAGCCAGCTAACCAACCAACCAACCAACCAACGGACCGACCGACCGACCAACCAACCAACCAAGAAAGCCTGCAAGCGAGCAAACAAGCAGGCAGGCAAGCAGGCAGGCAGCAGGCAGGCAGGCACGCACTCATGCAATCAAGCACGCAAGCAAGCAAGCAAGCAGGCAGGCACGCAGGGCAGGCAGGCAAGCGAGCAAGCAAGCAAGCAAGCAAGCAGCCAAGCAACCAAGCAACCAAGCAAGACCACAAGCTGTTTGGCCCGTGTGTTCTGAGTCCTCAAGTGTTTTCTGGCGAAGTGTTTTCTGGCGACAAAGTGTCGTGCTGCGCTACCCTACCATCATCCAACCCACCGCTGCCAGTTTTCTTGCCTCCTGCAAGCTTTGCAAAGAGGATGTTCTTAAAATCCTTCGGGTTGGCTTTGGAAAGACAACGCCGTTAGGATTCCATTTGGAATTTGGTTTACGACGGTTTTTCATTTGCTCCTGTTGGTTTTAAAGGACATCTATCACCGCTGGACATATATTATTGTTGCTGTTGTTGTTTTTCTTTTGCCAATGGACTCGCGCAAATCCGGAAGAAGGCTGGGGCTCGGTCATGCACATGACACCTAAGCACCTAAAAAGCAGACAACAACAACACCCATAAACACGCGACACCTAAAAACCAGGAACCACTTTGGATGGCCAGGCTAAGCCGGCCGCCGTTCACCGCCTTCCAGGCGAGCAGCTCACGGGCGCCGCGGGGCCGCGCCAGGTGCCGCGGGTGCGGCGGGCGCTGGTGCGCCTCGGACGCCTCGGCCCGGCGGGTGGCGGGTGGTGCGGAGGTGAGCGCCGGACGGACCGGGGAGCCGTTTGGGGCTTGGGTCAGCTCTGATCTTCCCAGTACGCTTCCGGTATGTTTGAGGAGGTGAAGGTTACAGACATCCCTCCTGCAAGGTGATGTGGGTGTGTTGATATGGCAGTGGTTGTCAAAACCGTTTTGGGATCCCAATTTGGTGGTAGGTGAATTCACCCATTTTAGAACCTATTTTAGTGGTTGGATTTGGATGTTCACTGGGGGCACGACTTGGATTTTGACCCATGGCCATTTGGGGTTGGGTCAAAATTAAACCACGAGGGGACTCCAGGTTTTAGCTGTTGGTTCAATGTACCAGGGCAAGCCATTTTATGGTACCTGTTTTTGACCCACAGCCATTTGGGGGTTGGGTCAAAAACCTTTTGCACACCAGAAAAAGGTTCCATGCCATTTTGGGTGCCATTTTTTGCTTTTTTGAAGACCCCAAGCTATCTGAGTGTTGATCAATATTTGGTTGGGCCCCGAAATGTCCATGCGTTTAGATTTTTTGCTTGATATGATGGTCATTTGGGGTTGGGGCAGCAACTTTTTCCCACCATGGGGGCTGCAGGTTTTAGTCCTTGGTTCCATTCGCCAGGGCAAGCCATTCTGGGTACAAAATCTTTTTTGACCCACAGCTATCTGAGTGTTGATCAATATTTGGTTGGGCCCCAACACGTCCATGCGTTTAGTTGCGATTTTTGCTTTAGAGTGTTTTTCCATTTGCTGAAACAAACAAAATATATTTTCCCTTGTTGGTCTTGAAGGGTTTAGTGCTGAAAGTCATGGAATTCAGAAGGTTCAACTGCCTGGAGGATGGACCGCTCTTAGAGGGATTTGTTTGACGGGTTGATTAATATTGCATTTAGGGCCCCAGTTTGACCACGGGCAGCTTTTCCCATGTGGTGAGCGTCAAGTCTTTTTGGTTGGTGGTTTCCCTAATAGTCACCCCATGTATTGGACCTTTTGATCAACCCCCCCCTCCCATTTCCACGATGAAAGCAGTGGTAGTGGACAGGGGAGTGGTGGAGAAACATGTCTCTGAATGGAAGTGGACAGGGGATCCTCAGCTTTGAACCCACAGGTGCATTCCATGGAGAGAGGGTAACCACTACCCACCAAATAAGATGGAACCAAACTGGGTCCTGGCATACAGTTCGCTTCTCACGTTAGGTTGATCAAGTCAGAGCCGGGCTGTTGAGCATTACTTCTTTTTTTGTTTGCATCACGCGGCCAATCTGGGGCAGGACAGTCACAAGAGCTTGTCCTTGGCCGAACGCATCCCTTTCCCAATTTCCACCCAAATGTTTGTCTCAGTTTTCTGTTTCGGTCTAGGAAATTCAGGCGCCAGAGCTGCAGTGCTGCTTTGCTTGGAGGACTCGAATCGTTGTGGTTCAAGCCAGCTCAGCCTCAAGGGAATGCTGCATTGAACCATAAGATGTAGCAATCACCTGCAGGTTAACGGGATGGCCTGCTGTGAGACAGGGCTCTCGTCAAGCCCAGCCAGCAACTCGTAACCCTTGGGATGGTTTCAAACGAAAGCGCATTTGGAGGGGTCGATGTAGTTCACGCAAAAGATCTAAAGGTCCTGTTTGCGCACCTGGACCAAGGTACGGAAACGGCGGCATATTTTCCCATAGCTCGGTCGCCATTCTCGCCAAGCCCGTCGACTGATGCCTAATTCACGACCCGGCGTGTGCAAGCAAGCGGCAGCTTCGAAGAAGTTGGCCATGGCTCGAAATCGACCCCGAACTTTAAGCATTTTTAGATCCAGAAGCATTTTAGCATTTCAAAACCCCATTCCCAGTGCTAAAATCTGCCCAGCTGCATTTCTGAGCCAAGGCAAAATGGCGAGGCGCGGGCGGTGCTTTAGCTCTCGAGGGAAGCTGCACAGCTCCCGAACCCCGGGTGGCGGTCACTGAGTGGCTCCAAAGGGCCAGCTCAAGCGAGCGACGCGCGTGCCAAGCAAGCATGCCAACTTGCGGCGTGCAAAGATGGCAGAGATTCCATGAGCTCAATCTGGAAAGATTCTATGGGACATACACCCTCAGAAAGAAATCTGCAAGTTGGAATGCCTCGATTTTGGTGAAGGGTTTAGGGTGTAGAGAGCTGGATGCAAGGCAGTCAGCCCGGAAGAGTTGCAGCCTGTGCTGGACACGATTGCCCGAGCCTCAGCGCACAGTTTTGGCTGGAGTTCCTTCGCCCGCTGGCGTTACACGAAGCTGGTTGGTTCCCCGTCCGGTTCCTGGGGCTTTTCGTTGGGTTGGCGGTGGAGTGGTTGGGTTTCCCATTTTTTTCCATTTTTCCGACTGAAGGTCACTCAGCTTTTCGCAGGGTCCCGATCCGAACAAAAGCCCAGGGTCTTGTCTCTTGTCTGGACTCACAGAGTCGCCTGGCTTCTCGCGAGCTCTCGGCTGGCACGGATGGCTCTCGAGGCTGCGTCCCACATTGCCCGCACCGCTGCCTTCCGCAGCAGCCGCCGGCTCAGGTGGGCGATAAGCACACGCATGCCCAAAGGGGTGGATTGCGAAGCCAAGGGAGAGCAGTGCAGACTGCGACGTGCTTGGCAAGCGCGTTTTGCAAGTTTGGGCTTGAAATGCCGAAGCGCGAGGCTTGTTCAAGTGAACGGGGTCTGCATTTGGACCGAGGTTTCTTTGGGATGTGTTGCCCTTGGGTTTGCGAGCTCATTGCCAGCCTTCCTTTTCGGCCATGCTGTTCCCTAAACCAGAAGCAAGCTGCCCAGGATGCTCGCAGTCAAGATTAGGACAGCCCACCAGCCTACAGCAGGCTTGCACAGGAGTCTGCGAGTCTGCGTCATCAACCTTATTTTCTCGTGTGTTCATGTACGTTATTTTCCTTGCAATCATTATCCTTAATGCCTCGTGTAAATCCGCTCGAAAGCGCTCTGAGGTTGTGATGCACTTTGTGCCGTGGTGGGGCAGCGGCAGGATGCCGATCATCCAGTACTGGCAAACCCGCGCGCGTTTGTTTGCTAAACGCCGAGTGGGGGGGGGTTATTGAGAGCCGGAAAGGACTCAGCGGAAGTTTACTTTGCTCGGAGAGCGCACCTGTCAAGAAAAGGGAAAGGAAAGAGAGATGAAGGAGGTGGGTAACCGGGAATCAGGGATAAACAGATGGAGTGTGCTTCCCTTGGCCTGCATTGTGGCTGGTCACCTGTAGAGACTCACCTATCCACTTGCCAGCCTCTTCCCTCTCCTCCAAATAGAAAATTTCCGGAAGATCAGGCAGGCGGTTAGTGTCCCAAAGAGATTGACCACGAGGTAGATACTGAGCGGTGGAAGCTATTCACCCAGCTCCCTTATGGAATCAGCTCCAACAGTAAAGGTTGCAATGATTGATTATTTATTGGTCACATTGTCCTGTGTCTTTCTTACATTTATTGGTCACATGTATGTCACATTTATTTATTGGTAACAGTGAAGGCAGCAATCTTCTCTTTCTCTTCCCTCTGTGTCCTCCCTCTTCCGTTCGGTCGAATGTCCATGATCTTTCCTTTCTGGCTGTTTGGTTGGATCTTTGGACTTTAGCTTTTTGGGAAACAGAGGATTCTTCCACCACAAAAAAAGTTACACATTTTGCGGAGGGGTCAACAGCAAGCAAGTTTCTATTCCTTTCATCACTTGCTTCTCTCTCCAAGTCTATTTCTAAAGAAATCTTACAACGTTGGATGAAGAGAGAGAAGCAAGCGAAAGGAAGTGCCATCTTCTCTTTCACCCCTTCAGCCGTTACCTTGTGAATGAAGGGAGAAACAGGTCTTCCCCTCTCTGCTGGCATACTCACGATTGGAGAATATTGTTGGACACTAATTTTGGTGGCTCCCAGCCATCCGGTTCCTTTGCTTTTTGGCCTTTTAGTGTTTAGTGGTAGTTTCCATTTCACCCACCAAAAGTCAAACATTTAGCGGGGGATCTGAGGGCAGCCCAGTAATCAATTCCCAAGTGAAAGAAGTGAGCGGGAGTTGCTGTACTGGGTCAGGAAGGGACCGAAAGGAAGGGAGAGTTTATGAGTGAGACACCCTCCTTTCCCTTGCTTCTTGCGCATGTATTCCTTCCTACGCATATTTGCGCATGGGCAAGAAGTCCTCGATGAAGGGACAGGGTACGATTTTCGGAGAGGAAAATACGGGCTTGACTATCATAATCCTATCTCATCATCATTGGCCGTGCGAAGCTTAGTGTTACAGAGAAACAGAGAGATGAGGAGATAGTGAATGGGTGAGAAATAACAAGCCTTTCTTTACAAACAATCTTAGAAGAAGACAAGAGGATAACAATTGCAGACCCTAGAAGACCTATTTTCTTATGACATCATATTATAGACAAAGATACAACTGACAAAATACTAGAGTGCCATGCACGCATACCATTTTGGCAACGTGGCAATACTAAGGTTGTAGACAATATGAAATCTAAGGTTGTGAAGTTTACAATGCATATTCGGAAGATTATTTGTAGTAAGAGATAACTGCGATACTATAAGAACATACATAGATACAAGTAAAGCATATAAGCTGGAACAGATCTAGAAAGCGACTTGAGGAAGAGATGGCAACGATACTTAATGACAAACATTGAATAACAACCATAATGCTAGGATAATTCATAAAGATAACAAGCGAGAGATGACATGCTGAGAACGAATCTGTGACACAATCACCTAGTAATACATAATTCCGATGAACCCGTACAATTCAATTGCCTAGATAGTTGGATATCAACATGTAAACAGAATCAACTACAAGTACTCATAGTAAATCTTAATAACCAGATACAAGGCATGAACTCGCAATACGAATTTGCGGATTTTTACAGTGACTATTTTCTGTCACGGCGGGACAACTCCTGGACAGTTGCTGTTTTTCCTGCCTTCTTGTGTACATATGTGACCTTTTCAGGCCAGTTTGAACATATTAGTGTTTTGTGAGGCCTCAGAGGATCAATGTTGAGAGCGAAATAGCTTTCCTTTCGGCTAAGTCCTTAGCTAAGAATGGCTGCCCCGCCGAAATCCTTTTTTTGTTGCTGGCCGGGCGCAGAGTTCTTTTCCGTTTTGAGACCTGGATTCGTCTGCTTGGCGACGTGACAATGAAGTCGTATGCAGCCATGAGAGGTCCGGATCAGAATTTATGCAACCATTTGCTTCCCTCAGAATGCGGACTCGCGGAAATGAAGACAGACTTGACATTCCAGTGTTCCGGCTTATCTCCAAGGATTTGTTCCCACCTTGTCTTCACTCAATAGCTTTCCGAATTGTGTGCCGGGGAACGCTGGCTCACATGGGCGGTTCTTTTTTGGAGTAATTAGGTACTGAAAGCCATATAAAGCTGGAGACCACACATTTTCGCAGGGTCGCATATTTCGGACACGCACCAAGAGCAGGCCACAGCGCTCGTGTTTTTTTTTTTGTCATGACAGGCCGCGGCGGTGCGGTCGCTGGACAAGGCAGGGTTCCAAGTTCAGCCTCAGTTTCATAGGGTCCCAGTTTTCTCCTAGCACGAACTTAAGAAGGCCTGATCACATTTCGGCAAAACAGGCATTTTGAGCCAGGGATGTGGGATGCACAAAATTTCTGGAAGCATCACGGGATGTCCTTGGCGGGAACAGCAAATGTTGGCCGCACCTCATATCCCCAGCAGGTGGTTTTCGAATTTTAGGAGCCATCCCGACCAGATTCTGGCCATTGATTCGCCCGAGCCGGTTCGGGAGCAACGGGTCGCTCGACAGGGATTTGCCCATTGGTGAACGCGATCTCCGATGTTGAGGAGAACATGATACATGGGGTGTGATCAAAAGGTCCTTTTCATGGGATGACCATGGAGGAAACCACCAAACAGATGCTATTCCCTACCAAGCAGGACAAGTTACCCATGGTCTTTGGGGGACAGGAATATTGATCAACGCCCACGTTATAATAGAATAGCATAATATACTCCCTTGTATGCAGAAGCTGGACTGCTCTGCTCACTTGGCGAGCTTCGCGCGACACATAGACGCATGGATGAAGGCTCCAGCGAGGTTCCGCTTGCCATACTACTCCAATTGGGTTCTCGGCAGGCCCAAGGGCTCATTCTTCAAGGTCTTGAGGGGTTGAGGGTTTTCGTAGACCAAATCCTGGGATGGAGGATTTTGTCCATCCACAGTATTCGTGGGTGTTTCTCAAGACGGGGGACTCCTCATAGGTGGTGTCCTTTTGGCTTCCCTTTGAAAGCCACAAGAGGTTTTTGCTGGTTTGAGAACCCCCCCAACCCAAAAAACAGAAGGATGGATTTCCTTTTGCTTTCCCTTTGACACCCATCCAAAAAGGGGTCCCCATACTTTGAGAAACCTCCAAGCTTAGCAAGTGGTTCCCTTCGCGATGCGACGCGTGATGCGATTCGAGGCAATGCCACAGCCAGAGGCGAAGCCTGTGACGAAGGCGCCATGTGGAATGGGTTGAGTGCCGGCTTCCCCATGGGTTTGCGAATCATCCGGGTTAACCGACATCCGGGTTTCTACTGGACGATGTGGATGTGTCTTTTTTGCTTCGAACCCCCCCCAAAGAAAAGAACAAAATGGACGGTTTGGATGTGGCTTTTCAAAGGTTGGAGCCCCAAGCATGACCTCGGGTCTCCTCCTGGTTTCCCTTCAAAACCACCATTGGTTTCCCTCCAAGACGCC